CCCTGTGGGCCTGAGGGGTTCCCGAGGCGCCGGACGCTGAAGATGACCGAGGCTGGAGGTGAGGGGTGCACGGAGGAACGGGACTTCCGGGGCTCTTGGATGAAGCCAGCGATCGGATCTTTCTTCCCGATCCCCAGGGGGACCGCACCGGCTAGGGAGCTGGGCTGTCAGGGGAGGGGGCGGGGATAGGATTTGTGCCCCTAATTGGGCCTGAGGGGTTCCCGAGGCGCCGGACGCTGAAGATGACCGAGGCTGGAGGTGAGGGGTGCACGGAGGAACGGGACTTCCGGGGCTCTTGGATGAAGCCAGCGATCGGATCTTTCTTCCCGATCCCCAGGGGGACCGCACCGGCTAGGGAGCTGGGCTGTCAGGGGAGGGGGCGGGGATAGGATTTGTGCCCCTAATCCCCTCCCTCCAGCCCGGATAAATTAATAGAAAACTGGTGTGGGGGAAGGGGACGGGGCTTAACTCCTCCTTGCCCGGCGCGGAGTTGCATTGGTGGGGTTGGGGAGAAACTGGTCACCCTCTATGATGGGGAGAGGAGCCCCCGGGGTGGATAGGTGGCCCGCCCCCCCACCTCCAGGGGCTTTGACGGGGTGTCCCGCTCTAGCAGGCCAGAGGAGGGGCACCGCCTCCCTAACCTACAACTGCTACCCGCCGGCCTCTGCCCCGCTTCCCCGCCTTTCCCAGTCACCCCCCTTCCCGGGCCCCTCTTCTCCGTGCTGCCCTGGCCAGACTCTGCCGCTCTTTCGTGCTCTTTCTTCTCGGCTGCCGTGGTCCCCGCCAGTCTTTTTTCTGGCTGTTGGCTCTTACCCCGGCGGCCTTCCCAGGCTGGGCACCATTTCTTTCTCTTCTTCCTTTAGCTATCTAGAGCTCACCTGCCTCTCTCTAGCCCAGAGAAGGGTCAGAGGTCACCAATGCTCCCCTAGGAACTGGATGCGGGGAGTTACCTGGGGTGTGGGGAGAAGAGGGGGCGGGCGGGCTCATTTTCCAGGACTCAGTTTGGGAAGAACTTTGGATGGTAAGGATTTGGCCGCCTCCTTGTAGAGTCCCCCATGGGACAGCATAGGGAGGGTCCTCCAGACCACACAGAAGGGATCCGGCCACTGGAGGAGAGAAGGCAGTTTGTGCTGCCTTAGGGTGACCCAACCAGGAGTGGGAGCTTGGAGGCCCCAGCCCGCCCCCGGGGTGCTCGCCAGCCAAAAGCAGGTCTCAGTGCTGGACTGGAGCTCCTAACGAAGGACACATGGCTGTCCGTTCTCTGTGTCGAAGACCGGAGGCACACGGCTGCCTGTGGAGAGCCTCCATTCCATGGGAGAGGCTGTTCCTAACTTCAGGGGTTCCCTGATAGAGAGAAGATCTATATAGGGGATCAAGGAGGTACCCCAAATTCTCCATTTTCCAGTGGTTGAGAATGGGTGGATTTGGAAACAGGGATTGTAGAGATGGGAGGAAGGAGGGTTACCTAGGACAGCTTTCTGGAGGAGGTGGTCACTAGGTCCTCGTCAGATAAGATATTATAATCCAGTGATGGAATTTGCTTCCTTCTGAGGGACATTTTTCCTTTGCATCTGGCCTTTTAGGATGGGAAGAAATATTTAGATCTTGGCTACAAGCCTCCAAGAATGGCAGGAGGGTTCTTGGAGGCCCTGTACACCCTGTAACTTATTTCCTGCTTGACCTGGGCGGCCATGGTGGGGGCCTTGCCCTAATTCTAGCCAGGGTCGGCCAACTCCCTTCCCTCCACCCCTGTCCCCTCCCTGGCAGAGTCCTTTCTCCCAGGCTAGAGCTGAGAGGCAGGAGACAGGGATCAGGCTAGAGCGCCTCCTCTTAATTCCTGCACCTCAGTTTCCACATCTGTAAAGTGGAGCCACTAAGATTCCAAGCCTGGCCGGCTCCCAGCGAGCTTATGTCCACGTAGGAACTGGGGGAGGGTGTGCGTTATGGCTGTGTCCTTATGTCCTTATGGCGCATGGCCGATCTTCAGTTTGTGGATCCCACTCCCTTACCTGCCCTCCCACCAAACACACCAGTAACAAAACAGCCCTGTCCGTGCACACCTCGTCCCAGAACATCCCCAGTGTTTCAGAAGCCCGGCTGTCCACCCTTCCGCCGTGAGCACTGCTCATCCCCTCCAGCAGCTGCGTGTCTGTCAAGAACCGTGGGCTCTGTGAGCAGTGAGATCCTAGAACAGGGGCCCTGCGGGTGGTGCCGGCTTCCTGAGCAGCTCCTGTTCAGAGAGATGGGTGGAGAGGGCCCCGTGAGACCGGGCGGGGAGGGCTGGGGAGGGACGGGCTGGGGTGATGGGTGAAAGGTGGATGCAGATGGTAGCTGGGAGATTGTGGACGGACGGCTGGGTATTGGATGGACAGACAGACAGGTGGGGGGGTGGGCAGATGGCTGAATGGGCAGATGGATGTGTAAATACAAACGTAGGTGGGTGGGTGGGTGGATGGGTGGATGGGTGGATGAAGGGCCTGTGTCCTCAGCCTGTGTTTGACATTAACCTGTTAAGTGATCTCGGGCTGGCCGCTCCCTCCTCTGTTTCTGTGCTTGTAAAATGAGAGGATTGAATTTAGTGATCTCTGCGACTTCCCGAGACTTGATGTTGGACAGTTTGCGATGACTGAAAGCCTTTAGGGTGCTGACAGCGGAGAGGCCTGAGCCCGGCTGCGTGTGAAGGGTAACAGCAGCTGACTGGCTCTGACCACCCCTCGGGGCCCAGCCCTCTGCCTCAACCTCCTGCCCCAAGCGCCCTCCAGTCCAGGGGAAGAGCTGGGTGGTTCTCCTTCCTGGGCAGCAGCAAGGGTTTTAAGGGACGGTAAGGGGCCGGTGATCCATGAGCAGGTAGCTCTGGGCCCCTCTCCAGACTCAACCAACTTGAACCTGTCTCCCCCTCCCTCCCTGCTACCACCCCCTTGTCCTCCTCAGCACACTGGAATCATGGCTTCTTCAAAGCCCCGAGACCCCGCGGATGAGGTTTTTGGTAAGTTCTGCGTGGCTCTGTCTGTAGCAACAGACACAGCCATAAAGCACATCCTCTCCACACCCTGAGCCCTGAATGGGGAAGGCAGACCTGGGTGGGGGGCTGGCTTGTGTGTGTGCGTGTGCGTGTGCGTGTAAGAAGTCAGCCCACTTCACACACAAAGAGTGCGGGGTGCAGAGTCCTGTCGTGGTTTACTTTAAAGATTACATGGCAATGGTCAGATGTGGTGGCACAGGCCTGTACTCCCCACTCAGGAGGCTGAGGCAGGAGGATTGCGTCTAGCTTGAGGCCAGCCTGAACTACACAGCAAGACTCTGACTCAAAAGCAACAACAAAAAAACTAACTGGCAAGTTAGTGGCGGAACTGGAACCTCAGACTGCCCGACTCCCCGCTCCTCCCTCCTGTACGGTACACCTGTCTACTCTAACCAGATGCCGCCTGTGCCTCCCAGACTCATCCAGGAGGGCACAGAACCTCACCCTTGATGGCTACGTGGCACACACCCAGCCTCTGTACCCCAGGCCGGCCCTTGGTGTGGAGAACTCACCTCCCACCCAGGCCATCACCAGGACCTAGCAGGGCAGAGCTCCCAGCAGGCACTGGGGCAGAAGGCGGCTGGGCTTGGCTGCAGGGAGGCCTCCTGGAGGTGTGCAGGCTGGAGGGCTCTTGTGCCTCTCTCCTGTCTCCACCTTTCTCTGTCCTCTTCCTCCCTGCCATGCCAGGAACCTCACTCACCCTAGCTCCCTGGTTCTCCCAGGGCCTCA